ACTTCTCATGAATTGATATATATAGTAGCAACATATACATTGAAGTAGTAATAGGCAAAGTGATCAGCAGTGAACTACTGGCAGCCTATTAAATTTACTTATAAATTAGGACTGCATTGAACTAATAGCACTTCGTATTGCATCAACAATTCTGTCTATATACAATGAAACAGAACTAAAATAAAATGTGATTTTGATAGGGAAAAATGATAGTTTAGTCATGAATCTGTGATATTTTTTGTTCAAGCCTAATTGCTGACTAGATTATCAAAACCACATATTTCATTCATTAAGAAAGCAAATGCTTAAACTTTAAATAACATCTTGATTTCTTAAAGCCATATTTCAATTCTACTTGAGTTCACCTACTGTAATTTAGCTTGTTATTAGTTTTTAGCCTTAATGCATTTTTTGTCACAACTATCAAAATATTTTAAATTGAGAAATTTTATCAACTCCTGAAGTGCATTTCATTAGTTTTGTTAGGACTATTTCAGATCTAGTCTTAAATCCTTAACTTGTAGTGAAGTATTTTAGAATTTGATCATACTAGATATTACAGCTGTGAGTGATGGATCATAAGAAGAAACAGTATTCTGAACTATAGGGCATTACGGGAAAGGTTCTGCTATTTTCAGATCTTTAAAAAATTGCTGGGTTTCTGGTGAGCTCAGGCAAACTAAGCTGCCTCTTCTGCAGTTTTCTTAAGACATAATTTCTGAAAATGCCACTTCTCTATACCAATAAACAATATGAATATATTAGCATTGTATTTCTGAAAATTTAAAGAGGAGGAGAAAATAATGAAATACAGCAGTATACATCTTCAGTTTACTGTAATTAAAAATGTAATCATACCATTTTTTACTTAAGCTGATTAACCTATTAATTTGGTAACACAATTCATTTTAAAATTCAGATCAGAAAAATTACTCATGATTCAGTTTTGCAGAGAAAACTATATAGTCATTTTTCTGTTATTGAGGTGGACTTAATTCATTCCTGGTTTAAAGGGAAGGGAACCCCACTTCCTTCAATTCTAATATATACTATCCAAGAACTGAATTTTGAGGTAATGCCAAAGCTCCCTATTCCCGTCCGTGCTTTGCTTCTATTCATGAAGCTTACTGACAGAAATGTTTCAGACAAAATAGACTGGGAGTAATTAAAATGATGCATACTGTTTTAAATGGTACCTGACTTTATTCCACAAAACTGAGTAGACAAATTATAAGTTCCGTTGAGTGTCCTTGTATTTTCTATCTTCTTACACTTACTGCATTTGCATTTAAGTAAATACATTTTTTTTTAACTGAAAACTTAAAGTATATGACCTAAAGGTCATTTGAATTTCATAACATAAATGGTTATGGAAATTTCATTTAGCATTCATGTGACTTGCATGTAGCATGCTAATAGTCCCCCAGAAATGCAACATATAGTTAAGTGTTAGTTAATGGACACTTGCTACCAAACACTTTTGAGCCATTTTCTGTTATATAACTGTTCCCTGTAGGTTATGAAGTTCAAGGTTACCTGGAGGTCAGGTTGTATTTTGCATGTTGGAGAAAATATTTTTAAAATTTGCTGTTACATAGTCATATCTTTTGCAGTCTCTTTTTTATATTATTCAACTATTACCTGACATGACATACAAAAGACAAGATGTACACCAGATTTTAAATGCTTTCAAAAAATGTTTTTCTTTTCCCTGGGCATGAAAAGATAATTAATATATAGGCGACCTCCTTTTAAAGAAGACATGTGGCCCCTTATAAGAAAAACATATAAGCAGTATTTATTTCCTTTGTGTGCATATATGCTTAAACACCACATGCATGTGGTGGTTTTTTGAGAGGGATAATCTGTATATTGTCATTGCAGATGTGACAGAATGTACATTTTAATTTTGATACTTTGTTTTACAAGGAAAAAATACAACAAGTCAAACAAAATACTTCTGTTTATACAGAAGGCCTAACTAACATACTTTAACTTGGAAGCACTATTTTGCACTGAATGCTGCACTACCTTCCCTCTGATCATTTGGGTGGGAGGCAATAAGCAAACCCCCCCCCCAAAACCTGGAAAATGTGAATGCTTCCAAAGAAATTAAAATTTATTCTATGCTACTGTTGTTGTTTTTTTTAAATATAATGATTTCCATTATTTAAAATCATTATTTAAAATCAATGTTAGGAACCTGATTAGAGAGACAACTTAATCATGGGTTCCATATGGCCGATGACATTCTAAAAAGAGATGAACTTTCTCTTCATACTTCCAACATAAAGCTGAAACAAAAGACTGATTATCCAATTGTTTAAAAATATTAGGTTCTTCCTCCAAACTTTCAGGAAACTTTTTTTTAAAATTGTTTTTGCTTCAAAGTAGGCAGTTACCTAAGCTATTGACATGAAAGATTAACATGGTCATATTTTTTCTGAAAAGTATTGGCTAAAAATGTGTTTAGTTAATAAGAGATTACTTGTTTTACAAGGAAAGCTTACCTGTGCTGAACCTAACCTGAATTCTTTCAATATTCTTACATTACAAAACTGGTACTTTTCTATAGAATACAGAAGTGCCAAAGTGAGTTTAGAAAAATCAGTTGAATTGCCTGCACAATGAACCTCTACCTGCCACTAACTTCATAGGGGCCTCCAGGTAATGAGCACTTATGGGAAGTGGGCAGCTTTTTAATGTAGAAACATGTTTTTAGGCAACCAAGTTAAAAATACAGATTTTCAGGAAATTCTCTGCATTTCTAGACATTCGTGGAGTAACTCTTGTTTGACAGACACTATAAAAGTGACTGCACATTCTTTTAAAAGGCTTGGTATCTTTCCTCTCCCCATAATTATTTTCCCCCTAATGTTTTTCCCTTTCATTTTGTTTCATGCTTGCTAGTAGTCACCTGCCACTTTTCACGGTGCCATGACCCCACCACTGATTCTGATGACAATAATCACCCTCCTCTAATACACAAGTTCTCCTCCCTTCTACTATGCCTAAAGCATTGTGGTCATGCTGAAGAAGGGACCAAGTCTAGTCTATCTCAAGATCTCCTTAGAAGAGGGGCCACCAAGGCAGCATATTTTTCCATACTGCTAGGACCCCATTACTGATTTTGGTGACAAAAGTTATCCTCTTCTAGCCCATACATTCTTCTTCTTTGCCTAAAGCATCACAGTCGTGTTGAAAAAAGGGGACCAAGACTCTCTCAAGATCTCCTTAGAAGAGGGGCAACCAAAGACAACACATTTTTCCATGCTGCTAGGACCCCCTCGCTCAGGGTGACAATACCACCCCCTAGCACACACATTCTTCCTCTTCCCCTTCCCCAAGCCTCGCATTTGTGATGAAAAGGGGACCAGATGATCTCAAGATCTCCTTAGAAAAGGGCATATATGCTAACACACTGCATGTGTGTGGTAGCTTATTTAGAGGAATAACCTGTGTCTTGTCATTGCAGATGGGATAGAAGGACATACATTTTAATGTTAATATTTTGATTGTTTTACAATGAAAAAACACAACAGGCCAAACAAAATACTTCTGTACTTAGAGGACTTCCCCAATAACAGGTCAAACGAAATACTTCTCCTTAGAGGGCATCTAAGGAGACCTTGAGGTCACACTTGTGGTGAAAAGAGGACCAGGCTATCAGTGATGGGGTCATAGTCCAGTCCCCTTTTCTCTGTACTATCTCAAGGTCTCATTAGAAGTATTTTGTTTGACCTGTTGTTACCCTTTGAAGCCCTCTTCTAAGGAGATAGCCTGGCCCTCTTTTCATCCCAAGTGCAATCAGCGATGGGGTCGCAGCAGTGTGTAAAGGGGACTAGATTATCTCAAGGTCTCCTTAGAAGCCCTCTAAGGAGAAGTATTTCATTTGACCTGTTGTTAGAGAAGCCCTTCGAAGCCCTCTCTGGTCCCCTTTTTACAATGCTGTGACCCCATCACTGATTACACTTAGCCTGGTCCTTTTTTCGTCCCAAGTGCAATCAGCGATGGGGTCACAGCATGGTAAAAAGGGGACCGGACTATTTCCTTAGAAGCCCAGAGATCTTGAGATGGGACAAAAAGAGGATCAGGCTATCTCAAGATCCCTGGACTTCTAAGGAGATATAGTCTGGCCACCTTTTTATGATGCTGCAACCCCATCACTGTTCACACATGGGACAAAAAGAGGGCCAGGCTAAGTGCAATCAGTGATGGGGTCACAGCATCGTAGAAAGGAGACCAGGCTATCTCCTTAAAGAGGGCATCAGAGGGCTTCTGTAACAACGGGTCAAATGAAATACTTCTCCTTAGAGGACTTCTAAGGAGACCTTGAGCATGGAGAAAAGGGAGCCCAGACCTCTGGGCTTCTAAGGAGATAGGTTGGCCCCCTTTTCATCACAACAAAGCTGCCGGGGATGCTCCCAGGGTGGCTTAAAGAAGCCAAGTCAAGTTTCCAAGCGCCCCTGTCTCCCCTCTCTCGCTGAAGCCGCCACCACGCCGTTGAGCCAAGCGGAGGGGATGTTTTTTTTTGTCTTGTCAACTAACCCCCTCTAGTGCTGAACAGGCTGCATTTGACCTACGGGCTGCCAGCCGCTTCCAGGCGGGGAAGCTCTTCCCTTCGCCTCCTCGCACACACGCACACACACGCGCGCGCCCGTCTCCCCTCTCCCGAGCTGAGCGGCTGAGGAGGGGCCAGCCCTGCCCGGGCTGCTGCCAGGGCGTTCCCGGGGCCCAGCCCGCCTCTCTCAGAGGGAGGCAGGCGGCG